CAACGTGATTATTTGTTCAGTAACGGTTGACAAGCGATGCCTCACGTTCTTCTAGCACACTGGAAAATACCTTGAGTCCTTGAAACTTGTTCGATGTTGTAATTATTTACAAACTTGTGCCGTAGTAACCTCAGGAAAGCTGCCAAGTTTTCCTCTAGCAGAGGGGGAAATATATGCATTGAAAATACCACCCATCTCTTCTTTTGTTAAGCAGGCCGTGGGAAGGCGAATGTCTAGCGTGTTAAACAGGCAAACATCAAGATGTGTAAGCGAGCCGAGAACACTAGTGTGAAGGGAATTAAGCGAGCTGTGTGGAGGCACCCGTTAAGGGGATGAAGCGAGGCATGAGGACACGGTTTAAGGGAGCTAAGCGAGCCGAGATGAGGCAGGAGTGAAGGCCAGCTTCACCAGGTGGCGGTGGTCGACGCCACCATAACCACTTCACTAACGACAGATTAATATGAGAACGGTCGTTCCCAGGCTGATAACTCGCCAGCACTATATACCCCCAAAAGTTTACTCTTATGGTCACTGGGTGCAGAGTTTACCGCACCAGCTCCACCACTATCACCACCATTACCACCACCATTATCACCAGCACCACCACTATCACCACCTCCAGCACCACCACCACTGTTTCTACAACCACCACCAACGCTGCAATCCCGTCCACCACCATCACGACCAAACACACAATCACTGCCACCATTAAAATCAGAATCACCATTTTGGCCCCAAGTCAGGAATGTTAAGTAACACGCGCGCCTCACTACCACCCTCGGCCCTCACTATCACCCTCGGCCCTAACTACCACCCTCGGCCCTCACTATCACCCTCGGCCCTCACTACCACCCTCGGCCCTCACTATCACCCTCGGCCCTCACTACCACCCTCGGCCCTCACTACCACCCTCGGCCCTCACTACCACCCTCGGCCCTCACTATCACCCTCGGCCCTCACTATCACCCTCGGCCCTCACTACCACCCTCGGCCCTCACTACCACCCTCGGCCCTCACTACCACCCTCGGCCCTCACTACCACCCTCGGCCCTCACTACCACCCTCGGCCCTCACTACCACCCTCGGCCCTCACTATCACCCTCGGCCCTCACTATCACCCTCGGCCCTCACTACCACCCTCGGCCCTCACTACCACCCTCGGCCCTCACTACCACCCTCGGCCCTCACTACCACCCTCGGCCCTCACTATCACCCTCGGCCCTCACTATCACCCTCGGCCCTCACTACCACCCTCGGCCCTAACTACCACCCTCGGCCCTAACTACCACCCTCGGCCCTCACTACCACCCTCGGCCCTCACTACCACCCTCGGCCCTCACTACCACCCTCGGCCCTCACTATCACCCTCGGCCCTCACTATCACCCTCGGCCCTCACTACCACCCTCGGCCCTAACTACCACCCTCGGCCCTAACTACCACCCTCGGCCCTCACTACCACCCTCGGCCCTCACTACCACCCTCGGCCCTCACTATCACCCTCGACCTATACTGTTGTTTTTCTCCTAATGTGGCTATGCAACAATTTAGGCTGAGTCTTTGCCTTGCTTGCGATGTCATTTTCGTATTGTCTTTCTGCCTCTCTTCTCATCCTGACATATTCATTCCTGACATTCTGGTATCTTTCTCTGCTCTCAAGTGTCCTGTTATTCCTATAGTTTCTCCATGCCCTTTTACTTTGCTGCTTAGCTAGCCTACATCTCTGATTAAACCATGGGTTTCTCATCTTCATTTCACTGTTTTCCTTTTGGACTGGGACAAACTTGTTTGCTGCTTCCTTGCACTTCTGCGTAATGTAGTCCATCATGTCTTGGGCCGTCTTTCCCCTGAGCTCTGTTTCCCATGCTATATCTGTTAGGAATTTTCTTATCTCCTCATAGTTTCCTTTTCGGTATGCTAACCTTTTGTTTTCGGTATCCCTCCTCGAGTTCAATAACCCTTCTTCAATCAGGTACTCAAACACCAGTACACTGTGGTCGCTCATTCCTACTGGGGCCTGAAAATACATTGTGTGTGTGTTCTCACCTATTTGTGCTTGCGGGGGTTGATCTCTGGCTCTTTGGTCCCGCCTCTCAACTGTCAATCAACTGGAGTACAGGTTCCTGAGCCTATTGGGCTCTATCATATCTACACTTGAAACTGTGTATGAAGTCAGCCTTCACCACATCACTGCCTAATGCATTCCATTTGTCAACCACTCTGACACTAAAAAAATTCTTTCTAATATCTCTGTGGCTCATTTGGGCACTCAGTTTCCACCTGTGTCCCCTAGTGCGTGTGCCCCTTGTGTATTGTGAGTGTGTGTGTGTGTGTGTGTGTGTGTGTGTGTGTGTGTGTGTGTGTGTGTGTGTGTGTGTGTGTGTGTGTGTGTGTGTGTGTGTGTGTGTGTGTGGTTCTGTGACTTATAGAGAGTGGTAGCGGGTTACACTTCACTGCAGGTCTGATGACCATTTAGAGTAGAGGTAATATGATGTAGTTGGGTGTATTTGAATTTAAAGAGCTGCACTTGCTGGGTTTTGGCTTCAAACTGTGTTTTTGTCCCTCTGAACACACAATGGAGTAGAACATATTTCATATCACATGGTGGTGTTGGTGCCTCTGATTGCGATTGGGTGATTGTCCGTTGGTGATCCCATTTAGTATAGTATCCCATCCTTTAGGTACTTGGGATTCGAACCCTGCTGCGTGATATTCTCCCATTAGTATCCAGAGGGGAGCTGAAAGCAAGGATGTATATAATGACCGCACTATAAGATAATATGTCCAACGTTTGAGGGCAGACACATGGGGATAGCCTTACTGAAATTTGTATGGGGAATGGTCTGGGGTATGGGACGGACATAGGCTGGTCCAGGTAGGCCTAAGTCTTTCTGTTTATGGTTGGAAGGAGGAGGACGGTAGGGAGATGGGGGTGAAGGCGATTGGGTACATTAGGTATACACCATGTAAACTCCATGTATACTCCAGATAATACTCCAGGTATACTCCATAATTACTCCGGTATTACTCAGGTATACTCCATAATTACTCCGGTATTACTCAGGTATACTCCACGTATACACCAGGTATAGCCCAGGTATACTCCAGGTATCTGGTGAAGGGTGTTGGTGGTGGTCGTCCGCAGGCGGCAGGACCCTGCAGGTGTGGAAGGTTTGGTGAACGGATTGACGAGTGTGGTGGTGAACACCGCCTGTGTTCTGAACACTCTTCTGCCCATGGAAGTACACGAACTAGTAATTAATAGTGTTGTGTTGCATAGTGTAATGAACACTTCTGGATGATCCTCGAGGTGTTACAGGTGTTACTGGAGGTGTTACTGGAGGTGTTACTGGAGGCTTGTGGAGTGTCTCCATAACTGAAAGGTAGTTAATGGTTCACTGTTGACTGTGGTTCCGGTCCTGTGTTACAGTACTGGAAGCTCCTGAGGGACAATGCAATTCCAATAAGATGATGCATCAGTGATAAGATCAGTGGGAACAATGATGGAGATTCGAACCCCGCACACTTGGTTCTCCGAAGTGACTGGACTTGTTACAGTACTGGACGCTCCTAATAGAACGTTACTGGACTGGACTTGGCTGGACTTGTTAAAATACTAGAAACTTTTAGCTAGTACATTGTCCATGCTAAAACCTGTTGGATGGTCCTTTGTGTGGGAACGGCCGATGCGGGCCAGGCATTGTTCCAATACAATTGTCTATTATATTGTTAATAGAAAGTTTTCAGATATTTTACTCTAGCTGGAAGCTTGTGTGGATGCTAAGCTTCTGCTGGAAGACTCTGTGCGGTCTGACGCTGCTACTGAAACTGTCTGGAATGACTGTAATTTATGCTGAAACACTTTTTTTGCCTTTGCTCGAGTGATTATGAAAATTTTCTAAAATCAATTTTTCTTCTTTCAGGAAGGTTTTTTTTTCAGGTTGTGACTCTTCACGGTGGTCCAGTAACGAGGACACATATTCTGGGGCCAGATTCACGAAAGCACTTACGCAAGCACTTACGAACGTGTACATTTCCCTCAATCTTTGGTGGCTTTCGTTACATTTTTTAAACAGTTTACAAGCATGAAAACTTCCCATTCTACTGTTGTTATTGTTATAAACAGCCTCCTGGTGCTTCGCAGCTCATTAACTGTTTAATACTTGGAAACAAAACCGCCAAAGATTGAGAAAAGATGTACAGGTTCGTTAAGTGTTTGCGTAAGTGCTTTCGTGAATCTGGCCCCTGGTGGCCATTACTGGCAGGTGGGCCACTACGGGCAGGTGGGCCACTACTGGCAGGTGGGCCACTACGGGCAGGTGGGCCACTACTGGCAGGTGGGCCACTACGGGCAGGTGGGCCACTACTGGCAGGTGGGCCACTACGGGCAGGTGGGCCACTACTGGCAGGTGGGCCACTACGGGCAGGTGGGCCACTACGGGCAGGTGGGCCACTACTGGCAGGTGGGCCACTACGGGCAGGTGGGCCACTACGGGCAGGTGGGCCACTACTGGCAGGTGGGCCACTACGGGCAGGTGGGCCACTACTGGCAGGTGGGCCACTACGGGCAGGTGGGCCACTACTGGCAGGTGGGCCACTACGGGCAGGTGGGCCACTACTGGCAGGTGGGCCACTACGGGCAGGTGGGCCACTACGGGCAGGTGGGCCACTACTGGCAGGTGGGCCACTACGGGCAGGTGGGCCACTACGGGCAGGTGGGCCACTACTGGCAGGTGGGCCACTACTGGCAGGTGGGCCACTACTGGCAGGTGGGCCACTACGGGCAGGTGGGCCACTACTGGCAGGTGGGCCACTACTGGCAGGTGGGCCACTACGGGCAGGTGGGCCACTACTGGCAGATGGGCCACTACGGGCAGGTGGGCCACTACTGGCAGGTGGGCCACTACGGGCAGGTGGGCCACTACTGGCAGGTGGGCCACTACGGGCAGGTGGGCCACTACGGGCAGGTGGGCCACTACTGGCAGGTGGGCCACCGCCCTGGATGACGGCGCCACAACGGGGCTCCAGGCCGGATGTACTTTGCAGTTACCGCGGCCGTGGACCAGGCAGTTCACTCAGCGGCCGTGGACCAGGCAGTTCACTCAGCGGCCGTGGACCAGGCAGCTCACTCAGCGGCCGTGGACGAGGCAGTTCACTCAGCGGCCGTGGACCAGGCAGTTCACTCAGCGGCCGTGGACCAGGCAGTTCACTCAGCGGCCGTGGACCAGGCAGTTCACTCAGCGGCCGTGGACGAGGCAGTTCACTCAGCGGCCGTGGACGAGGCAGTTCACTCAGCGGCCGTGGACCAGGCAGTTCACTCAGCGGCCGTGGACCAGGCAGTTCACTCAGCGGCCGTGGACGAGGCAGTTCACTCAGCGGCCGTGGACGAGGCAGTTCACTCAGCGGCCGTGGACGAGGCAGTTCACTCAGCGGCCGTGGACCAGGCAGTTCACTCAGCGGCCGTGGACCAGGCAGTTCACTCAGCGGAGGTGGACCAGGCACTTCACTCAGCGGCCGTGGACCAGGCAGTTCACTCAGCGGCCGTGGACCAGGCAGTTCACTCAGCGGCCGTGGACGAGGCAGTCCACTCAGCGGCCGTGGACCAAGCAGTTCACTCAGCGGCCGTGGACCAGGCAGTTCACTCAGCGGCCGTGGACCAGGCAGTTCACTCAGCGGCCGTGGACCAGGCAGTTCACTCAGCGGAGGTGGACCAGGCAGTTCACTCAGCGGCCGTGGACCAGGCAGTTCACTCAGCGGCCGTGGACCAGGCAGTTCACTCAGCGGCCGTGGACCAGGCAGTTCACTCAGCGGCCGTGGACCAGGCAGTTCACTCAGCGGCCGTGGACCAAGCAGTTCACTCAGCGGCCGTGGACCAGGCAGTTCACTCAGCGGCCGTGGACCAGGTAGTTCACTCAGCGGCCGTGGACCAGGCAGTTCACTCAGCGGCCGTGGACCAGGTAGTTCACTCGGCGGCCGTGGACCAGGCAGTTCACTCAGCGGCCGTGGACCAGGCACTTCACTCAGCGGCCGTGGACCAGGCACTTCACTCAGCGGCCACCACCACACGTCTCAGTCTGCCTTGAATGGACTCCTGTGTAACTATTTTATCAGCAGTAAACTTCAGACGGAGAAAAAATCACAAATTATCAGCTAAAGCTCCATTACTTAGGCTTAAACACGTTATTAAGCTGTAATAATTAAGCAAAGAATTTGTATATTTTAAAATATATTATTTTATTATATTTTATAAATATAAAATATTTATAAATTATATAAATTTTATAAATATAAAATATTTATAAATTATATAAATTTTATAAATATAAAATATTTTAAAGTAGGGCTTAAACATGTTATTAAGCTGTAATAATTAAGCATAGAATTTGTATATTTTAAAATATAACTAGTGGATAGAGCGCGGTGAATATCGTCTGGGACTGTCACTTTAATGGGCCAGAGTTCGAATCTACGTTGGGGTGGAGAGGGGGGAGGGGGGGAAGAGGGGCAAGCATAAGTATCTAATCCTGTTGAAAGTAATTTCCGTAGCGTAACGATGTTCCTTACTGGCTCGTTGACCCTTACCTGGCCATCACAGTGTGTGGGGGGGGGGGAGGGGAGGGGGGAGGGGGAGGGGAAGAGGGGGACCCATCCTCAGCGTGGGATGCCTCGCGGCATGAGACCAAACATTTAATAATACCATATATATATTGGTACAAAATTAAGGCAACGTTTTATTGACGTTTTTCTATGCGTGGGTCTCGATAGGTTATAGGTAGGTTAGGTTAGGTTCGTACGTTTCTGTATAGACGAAACCGTTGCATCTTTTAACGACGTTGTGAATCGAGAGAATGTACTGGAGAATTAGCTTATGCTTCCTCAGATGTCAAGTGCTATCTCAGGTGTCAAGTGCTATCTCAGGTGTCAAGTGCTATCTCAGGTGTCAAGTGCTATCTCAGGTGTCAAGTGCTATCTCAGGTGTCAAGTGCTATCTCAGGTGTCAAGTGCTATCTCAGGTGTCAAGTGTTTCCTCAGGTGTCAAGTGTTTCCTCAGGTGTCAAGTGTTTCCTCAGGTGTCAAGTGCTTCCTCAGGTGTCAAGTGCTTCCTCAGGTGTCAAGTGCTACCTCGGGTGTCAAGTGCTATCTCAGGTATCAAGTGCTACCTCTCGTGTTAAGGGCTACCTCAGGTGTCAATTGCTATCTCAGGTGTCAAGTGTTTCCTCAGATGTCAAGTGCTTCCTCAGGTGTCAAGTGTTTCCTCAGATGTCAAGTGCTTCCTCAGGTGTCAAGTGCTATCTCAGGTGTCAAGTGCTACCTCTGGTGTCAAGTGCTATCTCAGGTGTCAAGTGCTATCTCAGGTGTCAAGTGCTACCTCAGGTGTCAAGTGCTACCTCGGGTGTCAAGTGCTACCTCAGGTGTCAAATGTTAGGAAGTTTTCTTTTAGCGTGAGAGTAGTGGAAAAATGGAATGCATTTAAGGAGTAGGTTGTGGGAGCAAATTTTATTCATAATTTTACAACTAGGTATTATAGGGAAATAGGACCGGAGTCATTGCTGTAAACAACAGATGACTCGAAAGGCGGGATCCAAGAGTCAATGCTCGATCCTGCAGGCACAAATAGGTGAGTATACACACATGCGCACACTCACACAAATAGGTAAGTACAAATAGGTGAGTACACACACATGCCCATGATGCAGCCCATAACAACTGTCTAACTCCCAGGTACCTGTTTACTACTAGGTGAACAGGTGCATCAGGTGTAAGAAACTTTTGCCATTTGTTTCTACCTCTGCCAGGAATCGAATCCGGGCCCATAGGACAACGACCCCCCATGCGGTCGTTGGGGATCGTTGGAATGTCTATCCTATCACGGAAGAATAGACTGGGAGAACAAGGAACCACATGGAGGTGAGGAAACATGGAGAGCGAAACTGATGGAGGTGGCGACTATAAACTCTTTAAGTCAGCATGTCAAGGGTCCCATGAGAATGAGAGGCAACGATGAACCAGCAAGACTCGACCTAGTATTCACTCTAAACGATTCAGACATAAGGGAAATCGGTCTTGAAGCTCCCGTGGGTACGAGTGATCACAGTGTACTGTTGTCTGAATATCTGGTCGAAGAAGGGTTAATGTACTCAAGGAAGGGACCAGAAAGCAATAGGCCGGCATTTCGGAAGGAAAATTATGAGGAGATAAAAAAAAATCCTAACTGATTTGTTATCAAAGGGTAGATAAAGATAAACTGTTTAACACGGGTGGTGCTCGAACAAGGGGATACAGGTGGAAGCTGAGTGCCAAATTGAGCCACAGAAACATTGGAAAGAACTTTTAGTGTCAGTGTCAGAGTCGTTAGAAAATGGAATGCACTAGGAAGTGATGTGGTGGAGGCTGACTCCATACACAGATATAAATATGAATATGATAGAGCCCAGTAGGCTCCGGAATCTGTACACCAGTTGATTGACAGTTAAAAGGCGGGACCAAGGAGCCAAAGCTCAACCCCCGCAAGCACAACTAGGAGAGTACACCCACACAGTGCGACACCGACAGAGACACAAAGTTCCCTCTAAACCAATAAATTTTCAAATTGCTGGAATTATGAACCTTATGTCACCCTCGCTCTTGTGGGTAGGGGGGGGGGCGAGGGAGAAGGGAGAGTAAAGGGTAGGGAGAGGAGGGGAGAGGAGAAGGTAGAAGAGAAAGGGAGAGCGGAACGATGAAATTGGAGAGATAAAAGAGAAAGAGTGGCTTGGGAGAGGGGGCGGCACATATTAGAGGCGGAGAGGGTCACTGGAAGAGAGGAGGAGGACACTGTAACGTGAAGAGTGGCGGGAAGAGTGTAAACAGTGGGGAGACCAGACTGTAGAGTGGGGGAGACCTGACTGTAGAGTGGGGGAGACCAGACTGGAGAGTGGGGGAGACCAGACTGGAGAGTGGGGGAGACCAGACTGTAGAGTGGGGGAGACCAGACTGGAGAGTGGGGGAGACCAGACTGGAGAGTGGGGAAGACCAGACTGGAGAGTGGGGGAGACCAGACTGGAGAGTGGGGGAGACCAGACTGTAGAGTGGGGGAGACCAGACTGCAGAGTGGGGGGAGACCAGACTGTAGAGTGGGGGGAGACCAGACTGTAGAGTGGGGGGAGACCAGACTGTAGAGTGGGGGGAGACCAGACTGTAGAGTGGGGGGAGACCAGACTGTAGAGTGGGGGGAGACCAGACTGTAGAGTGGGGGGAGACCAGACTGTAGAGTGGGGGGAGACCAGACTGTAGAGTGGGGGGAGACCAGACTGTAGAGTGGGGGGAGACCAGACTGTAGAGTGGGGGGAGACCAGACTGTAGAGTGGGGGGGAGACCAGACTGTAGAGTGGGGGGAGACCAGACTGTAGAGTGGGGGGAGACCAGACTGTAGAGTGGGGGGAGACCAGACTGTAGAGTGGGGGGAGACCAGACTGTAGAGTGGGGGGAGACCAGACTGTAGAGTGGGGGGAGACCAGACTGTAGAGTGGGGGAGACCAGACTGTAGAGAGGGGAGACCAGACTGTAGAGTGGGGAGACCAGACTGTAGAGTGGGGGAGACCAGACTGTAGAGTGGGGGAGACCAGACTGCAGAGTGGGGGAGACCAGACTGTAGAGTGGAAAGACCAGACTGTAGAGTGGGGTGACCAGACTGGAGAGTGGGGAGACCAGGTTGTAGAGTGGGGGAGACCAGACTGTAGAGTGGGAAGACTAGACTGTAGAGTGGGGGAGACCAGACTGTAGAGTGGGGGGGTTCCGGTGGTAAACAGTGATCTATACCAAGGCTTTTAGATCACAGTATGCCGCGTATGTGAGCTAAGTTTCAGAGTATGCCGCCCCATCCTGGAGCCCCATCTTAACTAGACCCCAAACCCCTAGACCCCTAGACTTAATTTGGAGCCCCAAACTCTCTAGAAAGGAGACGAGATAGATACCAAATAATATACACGTGGAAAATACTGGAGGGCCAGGTCCCTAATCTACACAGCAAAATAACAACGTACTGGAGTGAATGATATGGAAGAAAAGGCAGAATAGAACCAGTGAAGAGCAAAGGTGCCATAGGCACAATCAGAGAACACTGTATAAACATCAGAGGTCCGCGGCTGTTCAACACCCTCACAGCGAGTATAAGAAATATTGCCGGAACAACCGTAGACATCTTCAAGAGGAAACTAGATTATTTCCTCCAAGGAGTGCCGGACCAGCCGGGCTGTGGTGGTTATGTGGGCCTGCGGGCCGCTCCAAGCAACAGTCTAGTGGACCAAACTCTCACAAGTCAAGCCTGGCCTCGGGCCGGGCTTGGGGAGTAGAAGAACTCCCAGAACCCCATCAACCAGGTATTAAAAAGCATATAAGGAAGCACGAAAATGTACAGAAGTTCGCAACGAGACGTCCCAGAACTGCGAGGGATGAGGTACGAAGACAGACTGAAAGAGGAGGTAGAGAGGGGACATGATACAGACGTATAAAACACTTATTAGGATTGACAAGGTGAAAACGGAGACATGTTTCCATGAATACCAACAGAACAAAGTAGCATGGATGGAAGCTTGAAACTCGTGTCATAGATATCTTTGACAAATGTCTTTAGGCGTAAAGGTAGTGAGTAAATGGAATGACCAAAAGCAGCAAGGCGTAGAGGCAAACTCAATTTATAACCTTAAAGGCAAGTGTGATAGGGCAATAGATCAGGAGTCGCTGCACTGGACAACCAGCGGGGGAAAGAAAAGAACGTCATCAGCGGAAAGCTGGTGATGATGAAAAAAAGAATAGAAAAGAATAGCGGGGGTCCAAGAGCTAGAGCTCAATCCCACACACACACACACACAAATAGGTGAGCACAAACTGGTGAGGACGGACACACACACACAACCAAAGAGCCAGAGCTCAACCCCCGCAAGCACAACTAGGTGAGAACAAGGCTCGTGCACCCTAGTCCAAGGAGAAATGCCAAGGAAAACCTCAACATTACTGAGGAGAGAGGAGGGGCGAGGGCGCTGGCACGCCGTAGTGCCAGCCACGCACATAGTTGAGTGAGAGGAGTAATATCGTATCTTACCAAACTTATTCAATATGTGCGATGCTTGGGCCTTGTGTCGAGGGAATGGCGACCACGCCGCCCCGGAGCCCACC